ATCAGAATATTTCTGGTCACATAAAGTGTGTGAAGAAGTATTCCTTCAACTTTTACTTCTTCATCCTCACTTGAGGACATTTTTCCATTGATTTTTTTTTTTTTTTTTTTTGAGAGCGTGGAAGGGTTGAGAGCGTAGGGAGGAGGAGAGACAGAGAGAGAAACATTGATGAAACACATTAATTAGTTGCCTCCCACACCCGGATCAAGCCTGCAACCAAGGTACATGGCCTTGACTGGAATCAAACCCGAAACTCTTTAATCCACAGTCTGATGCTCTATCCACTGAGCCAAACCAGTTAGGGCCCTCAACTTTTATTTCGTGGGAGACTTTGAGGATTGATGTTAATTCTTTAAATTTTTGTAGCCTTCACCAGTGAAGACATCTGGTCCTGGACTTTGTTGGGATGTTTTGATTATTGCTGAGTCTCTTGTCAAAGGTCTGTTGGAACTTTCTATTTCTTCTTGAGTATTTGGGTAATTTGTTTCTAGGAATTTGTCCATTTCATCTAGTTTATCTAATTTGTTAGCATATAGCTGTTCATAATATTCTCTTGTCTTTTTTTTTTTTTAATCTCTGTAGGGTTAGTGGTAACATCCCTACTTTCATTTCTGATATTAGTTATTTGTATTTTCTCTCTTTGTTAGTCTGGCCAAAGGTTTTTAAATTGTTTATCCTGTTAAAAAAAAACAACACAATTTTATTTGTTAATTATCTGTTTTAATTTTGCTTACTTTGATTTAACTTGCTCTTTTTTGTCTAGTTTTATATGATTTAAAGTTTAGATTATTAATTTAAGATTTTTTTATTGACATTTACAAATATAAATTTCCTTATAAACAGTGCTTTACCTGTACTCCAGAAGTTTGGGCATGTTGTTCTTATTTTTATTATACTCAAAATATTTCTTTCTTTTCCTTTGAATTCTTCTTTTTTCCCATTCGTTATTTGCAAGCATGTTAACTTCTATATATTTGTGAATTTCCCCCAATATTCCTATTATTGATTTCTACTTTTATTTCATGTAAGAACGTATTTTGTATAATTACAATTTTAAATTTACTGTGATTTGTTTTATGGCCAAATTTATAGTCTGTCAACAGCTCCACATACTTGAAAATAATGTGTATTCCTGTACTATTGAGTGTTTTTAGATGCCTGTTAGGTCTGGTTGTTTTATAGAATTTTTTTAAGTCTATTTCCATGTTGATCTTGATTGTTTTATCCTTATTGAAGCTTTATCTTTCTCTTCCTCAAACTAGATCATCTCAAGTGACATATCTTTAAATTGAATGAGTCTCCTTGCTGAATTTTTCATTTTTATGATGGTACTTATTATATTCAGAACTTCTGTTCTTTTTAAATAATATTTGTCTATTTTTATATTCTCTAGTTGATGAAACTCTAAAGTTTTTTGGGTAAAAAAAACACACCAGAACTTAGTGAATTTTTGTGGAGTAGATCTTGGAAGCATGGATTTTCACTGTTAGGTCTCCCAACAGTGAATGTTAACAGAGATAAAGGCCCAGAGCCCTTTATGTATAATTCGGCCTTGTTACTTAAGTTGGGGCTCAGGACCAGCAGAAGGGGCATCGCCTGGAGCTAGTTAGAAATGTAGAATTTAATCCCCACCCAGACCAACCAAATCAAAAGCTGCATTTTCACACATGATCTCCAGATGATTTCCATGCACATTGAACTTTTAAAGGCAATGGGCAAAGAGCATGGAATCCACACTTTCAAAGCCTCAAGATACCACACACCATTATTTCCAGAAGAGCAATTTTTCATTACTTATAGGACTTTGGTAAATTCCCATCTTCTTCTCTAAATTGAAACCCCACAAAAGAAAGTCTGCTTTCTGTTGTATCCCCGAGCCAACAGCAGTAAGTACTCGAAAATCTGTCCAAATAAAAATAAAATAAAGTGAACTGGACCCTGGAATCTCATACTTATCTGCTGCCTCCAAACCCCAACTTCAAATAGGTTTCAAAAGCGGTTTAATTTATTTAATTTTTTGTCAATTACAGTTTATTTTCAATATTATTTTGTATTGGTTTCAGGTGTACAGCATAGTGGTTAGACAGTCATATACTTTATAAAGTGTTCCCCCCAATATTCCCAGTACCCACCTGGCACCATACATAGCTATCATAATATTATTTTTAAATTTCTTAACATATTCAGAAAACATAAGCTTTCTCAGATCTCCTAAGAATGAGTAAGAAGCACCTCTGAGATAAGGGAACTTCAGTTTTTCTTTACCTTTTGCTTAAAGTTTGTGTTTATTCAAAACTTAAGTGTCCTAGCTGCTAGTATTGGAAAGAAAGAAGTCATTTAACCATTTCTCTATAATTGTGTAGAACAGATTTTTAATCTTGCATCTCATTAATTTTTTCTTTATAGTTTTCTCCATTAGAAAAGGTTGTTGGAATATGAGTAAAATGTCATAAATAAAATCAACACTAGTAAAAAGGCTTTTCATATAATCTACACTAATAAAAGAGAAAGATGCAAATTGACCATACCTTCACAATGCCCACCAGCCAATTAGGAGTGAGTATGCAAATTAACCCAACAAAGATGGAGGGTTAATTTGCATACACAGGTGCCAAGTGGCCAGGGGCAAGGCAGGACTCAGGCGTTCTGCACCACCCCAGCTGCTCCAGGACTCTGGGCAGCGTGGGAAGGTGCAAAGGTGGCTCTGGCTGGAGCGAAGGCGGTGCCGGCAGCCAGGGTAAGGAAGGCCGATTCTTGCACGAATCTTCGTGCATTGGGCCTCCAGTTTATATATATTTATTTCTAGCTTATATTGCTTTTCCATAAAAAAAATTTGAGGCAAATGTTTACAACTAAGTGAGATATAAGAAAACCAAAGTAATTTGCTAAGGTATGACATGTGTTATATGAGCAGATTACTTTCCCTGTCCATGTTGCTGAATAATGACCTCATATTTTATAACCTAGAAAGCATAATAATGTGGGCAATTATCTTTGTCCCCAATCAGGCAAGCAGTAAATATTCTCCCAATAAAAAATAACTCAAAACAATAAGAAATAAACTACCGGTATTATTAACAGTGTTTTTATTTACAAAGAATTATTTTTATTTGGCTGTTTGGGAAACCACTGACATTTTTCACTTTAGAAAACATTAAATAATAAACAAGATGTTATACAGTACTTTGGATAACTTCTTCCATCAGTTTAGTGCAATGCATTATTGGCACCTAAAAGTGAAATTTTCAATTATTTTCCCCTTTCATCTTCAGTTGTGCAGTTATATGACCCAAAAGGAAAAGAATCATTAAAAAGAGCTCTAAGGCCATATTTGCTGGCCCCTACTCAAAGGCTCACTGATTTATCCTCCCCTGCTGCCCTGCCTCCACCAAGTTAAATGACAAAAGATATTATAGGCATACTATAATAGGTATACTATTATACCTGTTGTTCAAAAAAACCCATTACCACTGGGGAACTTGGGAGATTCAATTGATAAAGAGAGAGTGAATTATACAAATTAGGTGAAGGAACAGGCCTGGCAGTTGTGTTGGGCATGGTACTCTGTATCAGTAGCCAAGTTAAGTTGTAACACACATTGCAGAGAGAATGCACCAGTTAAAGTCTCTGTAAACTGTGTTCTTTGCTATGGTCTTTAAAAATCGGAAGCATCATCCATTGAGCAAGTGAAAGGGTTATACCTTTATCAAGAAAAACAAAACAAAACACATTAGAACACTGAAATACTAAAACATCTGCCTATTATACTCTCTTTTTGGAATAAAATATATATATATGTTTTTTTCTTCTTTTTTTGTTTTAATACTGCTAGGTTTGCCATAAAGGGAAAGCTCAGCATTTGGTGGGCTTGACCCCTTTTGATTTCTCTCCATTAGAAGCCCAAGAGGGAAATGCCTAAATTAATCCCAGGCCTAGTCCAAATTACTTAGTCTGGAGATTTTCACTACACAGTAATAGGAGCAAAACATATTTTGGGAGATTATGTAATCTATTACTCTTTCTTAAACACCCTTAACCACCTTAAATAGACAAAGTTTTATCTAATTTTTAAAAAGCCTCTGAGATAGAGAGAGACACTCCTTTATAAGGGATTTTGGGATTCTAATTTAACAACTGTCCCTGCCAGCAAATGCTCCCTCATACTCTGGTCTAAGCCTGTTTCCTCTTGTTCTATTCTTAGTGCCTGTGGAGAACAGCTGGCCACCATCCTCTCTGTACCAGCCCTTCATGCACTGGAAAACCAGCAATGGTTTGCCCCTCAGTCTTCTCTTCTCCAGGCTAAATAATCCCAGTTCCTTTAATTTTTCACCACAGATCTTTTTTTCCAACCCTTTAATCATCTTTGTGATTCTGGGCAAAAACAGCAGAAAATATGTTGATTACTTAATCAGAAGTGAGGAAGAGTCTCAGTAGTAAGCTGCATTTTAAAAACGATAGTCTTTTTAATATAAAGTTAAAAAATGCAAGGAGGACATAGATTAGTTGAGGGTCCTTCCATCTCAGAATTCCAATCCTGCCCCATTGCTCTAGTGTGTAAGTGAGTCCTATTCCAACACACTTAATACCTCAAAGCCCGGGCCTACCCTACCCCATGCTGACTTGGTAGCACATAAGTTGTGAGCTAGACCCGCCTATATTTATACTGATTTAAAAATTAGTATGAAACCCATTCCAGGGGAGCTGCTCCCATAAACAGACCCCTTCCTCTGAAATGGCGGGACCGTCTCCAAGTTCTTACGGGTTACCAAGGAGAACCGTGTTATCTGGGGAACGCCGTCGGTTTTTAAGTGAGAAACAGTGCGGGTTTTATGTGCTAACTGCAGCTCCCTGTCTATCTAAATCAGTGGTTCTCAACCTTCTGGCCCTTTAAATACAGTTCCTCATGTTGTGACCCAACCATAAAATTATTTTCGTTGCTACTTCATAACTTTAATGTTGCTACTGTTATGAATCGTAATGTAAATATCTGATATGCAGGATGCTCTTAGGCGACCCCTGTGAAAGAGTCGTTCAACTGCCAAAGGGGTCACGACCCACAGGTTGAGAACCCCTGATCTAAATGGTTTACTCTCCTTTGTAGGGATCAAACTCAAGGTACTTAAAACATTCATCCCTCCACTGCCACAACCTGACACCATTTCCAAATTTCTCTTGCTACCGATCAAAGGTCATAGGACTGGACAACACTTCACCGCGTATTTTTAATTCAAGAGATCACAAGCTGCCTTTTCCCTTGCAACTGGAGTCGGTAAATATCAGGAACACGCAACTTCGTCATATCAATAGCACATTTACACAAAACACAATACCACTAACGAGGAATTACGTGCCCACTTTACATAATTGTCTTTAAAAGAAAAATACAGATAACAAGAATAAATGCATTTTGGTATGTTACACACGCTTCTTTCATAAAGTGAATGGCAGTAAGAGTTCAGGCCAGTCCGGAGCTCACAGTGAAGAGGAGAAACAAAGTTCACAAGCACATTGTACAGCGTATCTTAGGGGAAGTCAATACTACTCGTGGCACGACACTGGACAGATAACAGAATGGCCATCGGCACAAATTTCCTTTGAAAATGTCTCCCGTACTTTGCTACAAGGAACACCTTGTCACCAGGATGAAGGACGGCACAGGTCTCACATGCTGAAGCCAGTTCCTAAAAGAGCCACGGGATGTAGGTAGCACCCACAGACAGCTTGCATGTGTCTAACAAATGCCCCTTCTATGTCAAAGGGAGTGTCACTGTCCATTGGGATTGCACAAAAACAGGCCAAGATGTGGGTCAACAACCAGACTTTCTCTGACCCACTGACCCACTCTTCTCCGAGGCCTGACAGAAGGGAGGAGAAGACAGGAGGTGAAGATCAGAAAAAGAAGAGGGAGCAACACAGGAGTTCATTGCTAGTTGCGGAGTTGCACACGTTCTTCATAGCAGTGGCCTCTTTTCAAGCTCACGTCATCCAATCCAATCTCCCCAGTGTGGCCACGCCTCTTTTCACCTTTGAAGATGACCTAGGGAGAGAACGCACACACTGGTCAAGCCTCCTCTGCCCTTCCCCAGGGCGGCTCATTCAGCAGAATAAAGGCAAACTTCCCCCAGGTCTAAACAGTAAACTTACTTAACAGAAGGAAAGACTAGAGAACAGTGTCACCTGAGAATTGTGTTCTGGTAGAAACTGAAATCCCCAGGAAACCGTTCATCAGACCACGTTACTCAGAACCAGTTACCCTTTAAAAGCCACACTAAACTACAGGCTGCTTCTGTCAACAATTACCAAGGTCAGAAGTAAAAAGATGGTGATGGCACATAGAGGTGCAGACGTAGAGCCGAAGTCTAAAAGATCACTGCCATGCAGCCTCCTCTGACGCTGCCCAGCACCTCCACTGGGCTCATGCAGCTTTGCTGCCAAATGGAACAGAAGCCAATGCCATAATCCCATCACGGCATTGTTCTACTTGTGCACAAACCAAGAACTTCCACTATTCTTGCATTTTATCTTTGATAGCATCCTTGCTCCTTTCCAAAACAAATGAAACCTGTCTCTGCTGTGATCTGAAATGATTTACCTTTTTAGTTCTTTAAAAATATATATGTATATTAAGAAAAATTTTAAGAGTAAATAATAAATAATAGTAAATCATCAGAGTAACATAAAATTTAAGACTCTGGTAAAAGCTGTATTAATGGAGCCTACCTTTTCTTTCTAAAAGTGTTTACAGAAACTGTACCTACAAGCATAGATGCAGAATCTCCTCATAGTAACAGTTTTAGAAGCAGCAACGTAAAGAAGACACATCCCAAATAAGTTATTTCGATGAGGTGTTACAGATCACCTCATTGCTACATGTGACTTGGTTACTTAGGATAAAATTTATATATTCAGTCAAGCTTTCCCACATCCTGTCCTGAGCAGAACAATATCTTTCAAGTCTATTGCTCTGGATCCCACCCAAAGCTGCTTAACTATGGTCTCTCAGGCAAAGAGGGAAAAATGGATTTTAAAGAAACATTTTGGAGAAAACCACTTTAGGGTAACTCATGGTGGTCAGAGTTTGAAGTATAAGGAATGAAAGGAAAAGTAAGACGAGTTAAGCTCAGCACCCCTGCCCTTTGAAGTTTCTCTTAACACTTTTACTTTAATTATTCATTTTTTTCAATAAAAGTAGGGGATCTACCCTAGGGTGGGGAGAGTAGCGGTAGTCAGAGGTTATAATGAAGAATGTAATAAGAAGCAAAAAGGGATTAAAGAAAGAGGCAAGGAATGGAGTTGTCATGCCCAGAAAAACACACGAAACTCTGTCTGAGCCCGAGTTACTAAGTAGAACAATTCGGACCCCAGGCTTCTCCTATGAGAGGAAAACCTCCCAGGTCCACGTCCTTTGCGGTTCTACTTACGCTCTTGATGTCAGCCCCTCGCAGGGTGATCTGTGTTTGCCTCCAGCCATGGCCACCATTTCTTCCCCACAGGGCTGCTCCGTGGGCCCCCTGTTTTCTCACAAACACCTGGAGTGCGCCGGAGTGCAGCCCAGTGACCCTGTGCCTGAACGACAGGCACAGGTCCCCTGACTGCATGAGGTGGCCCAGGGGCAGCACCAGGCGAGCGGCTTTCCCCCCGGGGCCCTTGGCTGCGGAGACTGCCAGGTACTGTCCACCTGCAATGGGAAAGCAGGGCCGTGTGTGTACGTGTGACATCCCTTCCCAGCACAAACAGTATGGACAGTCCTAATCAACCTCAAAGTCATTTGCAAAGAACCCCATGTTACTGCAGGAGAAAACCATGGCTTATTTCTATGCCTGTCTCAGATCCCATGGTTTTGTGTTTACAGAAAACACTCGCCCATTGTGCTCACGGAGAGGACAAGTTCTGCCAAGGACACATCGGAATAAGTAATCCTAACACTGTGACTACTTCCAGTGGAATAGGATCACACACACACAGGCATGCACAAACCACACACTTTCACCACCTCCTGGTCCTCCCCACGTTATGATTATGTTGTCAAGCTGGCTGGCTGATTAGGTGGTTGACGCTAAGTTGCCAGGGAGAATTTTTCTACACGGGTAATTAACCTCTGGGCAGTAGAGCAGATGTGGTTTAAAGGGCATTAAATCTGTTTATTATCTCTTCTCCCTATTTTTATTTATTTATTAACTCTAGAGAGAAAACCCTTCAACAATGCCAGAGCTTGCCCTGGCCGGTGTGGCTTAGTGGGTTGAGTGTTATCCTGTGCACCAAGAGGTCGCCGGTTTGATTCCCAGTTGGGGCACATGCCTGGGGTTGTGGGCTTGATCCCCCCAGGGGGGCTGTGCAGGAGGCAGTGGACCAATGTTTTTCTCTCTCACTGATATTTCTTCTCTCCCTCTCCCTTCTTCTCTAAATTCAATCCTATATAATAAAAGGCTAGTATGCAAATTGACCGAACAGCAGAACAACCGGTCGCTATGACACGCACTGACCCCCACAGGGCAGATGCTCAATGCAGGAGCTGCCCCCTGGTGGTCAGTGCGCTCCCACAGGGGGAGCACTGCTCAGCCAGAAGCCGGGCTCATGGCTGGTGAATGCAGTGGTGGTGGCAGGAGCTTCTCCCGCCTCCACGGCAGTGCTAAGGATGTCCAACTGATGGCTGAGGCCCACTCCCTGGATGGAGCAGGCCTAAGTCATCAATTGGACATCCCCCGAGGGATCCCTAACTGCGAGGGGGCACAGGCCGGGCTAAGGGACTCCTCCCCCAGTGCATGAATTTTGTGCACCGGGCCTCTACTAAAAACATATTTAAAACAAAACTAAACAACAACAAAAAGCCAGAGCTTGCTATGCTTCTCACACTGGAGTGCAGCTCACCCCAGGAAGATGCAGAGGTGTTCTGGAAACCCCCCACTTCCCGGAACATCAGCTTTATTTAAAGATACGCAGTTTACAATGTGTTACATAATAACACATATATAATATAATATTTTTTATTACATATACATGAACACAAAGTGTTAATAAAAACTGTCACTCTGGGCGGACACTTTGTCCTCAGATCCCTGGGGCCATAGAGCGTGCCTCCCCATTGTAAGAGGAATTGCTATTAGGGGGGAAAGTTTGAGCAGCAGTGAGTGGGGGGAGAGCTGCTTCTCAAGAGAAAGTTACAAGTAGTATATGAAGCTCCATCCAAGTACAAATGACATTCCTCCCGGGCTGTTGAATTGGAGCCAACTGAAAACACACTGTGTTCCAGCACTGATTTCTCCACAGGAAACTGTGGTGTGAATGCTGAACACATGTATGTATTTTGGTAGAAACCCCACTTATTTTTCAATGAAAAGACAACCACTTATTTTTATGCTTAATTTGTATCAGGGATGCTAAAGTTTGGGGTGTCCTCTTATTTGTCAAGGGACTTCTCCTCTCCCACGTGCGCTCTGAGCAGTGGCAGGACCAGCAGGTGATGTCTGGGCCCGGATTCTGTACCAGGCTGTGCTGAGTGCTCCTGGGGCATCTCATGAACCCTGAAGGCTGGCTTTACAGATGCAGAGTTAGGGCTTTGAGGTGAGGTCACCCAAGGGGTCACCCAGTGAGTGGCAGAGTGAAGGTTTGAGTTCAGAACTGTCTGACCTCTGTATCCGGCACGTGCTGCCCTCAGGTTGGATCACTGGTGTGCCTGCTTCTCTCCCCCAGGAGATGTCAGAACCCACCGTTGCCCCAAGCCACCCCAGGGCATCCCTAGCACATGGTAGGAGTGTAATGCCATCTGTTGAATAAATGATGTTCTAAGAAGACAGAAGAAAAAAAAACCTGCAAAGAAATAGGTCCTTGAGTCATATACTTGACTCACCAACAACAAACACAATTTCTTATCCTCAGTCCACCCCCACTGCCCCCATTAATCCAAATGGTATTTTAGGCCAAAATATTTAGATGGATTTTAAATGTCTCCCCATAAGTCAGCTTTTGAATTGTCACAGGTATTTTGCTTAAGACTAAGATATAAGGTTATTACAGTTAAACCTGCAAGTTTTAAGAAAACAAGGATTATCTTGAGTCTCTGTGGAATGTATACTAACATGACTGCCAGATGCTGCCTGCGAATAAGACAACCTAACAAACCAAGGCAGCCTAGTAAGAGTCAAATAATCTTTTCTAGAGGCACTTAAAACCCTAACGTGTAAAATATGAGCAAAGAGGCTACTGTTGCTCTCCCTCCATGGAGCTGCTCTGAACATTTTTGCAGTGTAATAACTTTTTTTTCATAAATATATCAGCCATTTTTTTATGACAAATACATTTTTCATAGCTGTTTGTCATTAATAATTTAGCCAGTTTTTTACTGAAGAATATTTAAGTTGTTTTCAGATTTTCACACTTAAGAGAATACCATAAAGTAGTAAGACAAGCAAAAAAAATAAAATAAAAATTTGCAACACATGAAATAGGACTAAGTTTCCTTTTCACATAAAGAGCTTAAAAATCCACAATAAAAAGAAGACAAAAGAAAAATAAAAAGCATCTCAGAAAAAAGGACTTTTAAAATGTGAAAAAATGGTCAGCTTTTCACAATAAAATAAATTAACATTAAAACGAGATGACTTTCTACCAATAAGCTTGGTAAAGATTTTAAAAAGTAGTTTAATAAGATCTGTGTTGGGGTGGTCCTTAAATATTGTTTGGAGGAGTATAAATTGCCATAACCCGTATGAAGGGCAACTCAGTAAAATCTATCAAAATTCAAGATGCAAGTTCCCTTTGATTGGCATTCCACATCTAGGATAAGACGTATTCAAACACGTCTGAAATGATATGTGTATAAGGTTTTCACTGCAGTCTTGTCTGAAAAACCGAAAGACTGGGAACAATGGAAATGTTCCTCGGTGGTTAAACACAAGGGAACATCTAAGGAATAATGGAGTACCTGTCATTAATAAGAATGAGGGTGTTCTGTATGTTCTGATATAGGACAATCTTCAACAACAATGGCTAATGCTATTTTAATGGTAACTCGGGGACAGGCACTGCTTTAAATATGTTGAATAGATGCTATCGATTATCCTCGGTTAAGTAACGTGCTCAAGGTCAAAGCTAGTAAGCTGTGGGTGCTGGGTTTCAGCCCAGGCATTCTGTATTTGAAGCTCGATCCAAGTACAAATGACATTCCTCTTTCAAGTCTTTGTTCTTCATGTCAACTCTTAGCGTAATATCCTTAAGTGACAAAAGCAAGGTACGTAAGAGGGTGCTTTGTGGTTGTATGGACAACTATATCTCTGGAAAGATAACCAAGAAACTGGTTGTATCTGGGAGGGTAACTGAGAGCCAGGGCTGAAAGGCTTGTATCTTCACTGTGGACTTATTTTTCCGTTTAAAATTTTTCAAAATAATGCTTTTTAATGCTGCACCAGACATACTTGTACGTACACGCTGGCATGCTTGTTATGTGTTTAAGTGAATTCCTTGCAGCTAGCAGTAGCAGACAGGGCACTGAATCAGCCGTCTTTAACCCATGATCCCCAGGGATCAGAGTTCCAGGAAAAGGGCCTCAGGTGCAGCCTTGACATCTATGGAGAAGGGTGTGTCTTCAGGGCCACTGCTCCATGCCTGCTGTGAATCACCACATCTGTTGACAGCACAACTTTCCATTCCTTAGAGCAGTGGTTCCCAACGTGGGACACATGCCCCACAGGGGGCAATTTGATTTTTAAGGGGGGGCAATTCAAGAATGAGTTATTAACAGTGAATTTTTTGCATTTCTTATGGTTCTAGGGGCCTCATATACAGTATATCTACACTAATAAAAGAGAAACATGGTAATTAGCCGTACGACCGCTACCCTTCCCATTGGCTAATCAGGGAGATATGCAAATTAACTGTCAGCCAAGATGGCGGCCGGCAGCCAGGCAGCTGATGCGAACAGGGAGGCTTGCTTCCTTCAGTGACAGAGGACTCCAACGTTCCCCGCCTGCCTTGCCGGCCTCTGAGCTTCAGTTGGAAACATTGTAACATTTATAGAAGATAAACAAAACCCCAGAAACCTCCTGTCAGTCAGCCAGGATCTCAGAGCTGGAGTCGCAACATTGTTTCGAATACAGAAAACAAAGGCCAGAAACCTGCTTTCAGCAGCCGAGCCTCAGAGAGAAAGCCGGCTCTCAGCTCCAGTGACAGCCATAGAAGGTAAATAAATGCCAGAATAAAAAAAAAAAGAAAAAAAGGAGAGGTTTGGAGCTTCAGTCGCCCGCCAGCCTGAAAACGGCCCTCAGCCCCTCACCCAGACTGGCCAGGCACCCCAGTGGGGACCCCCACCCTGAAGCAACAAGATGGCGGCTAATTTGCATACTGAAGGCAGGCGGCAGCAGGCAAGGCTGTCTGCGGTCTGGGACCCGGATCTGTGACCCTGCCAGGCGGGTGGCAGTGCTTGAGGCTGTCTGCGGTCTTGGGACCCAGATCCGTGACCCTGCCAGGAGGAGGGCAGTGCTTGAGGCTGTCCGCGGTCCCGGGACCCAGATCTGTGACTTCACTTGGCAGAGTCTCTGGGTGTAGTCCCTACGTCATAAAGTAGTGGTATCCATCTTCCCTCTAAGGATCATTCCAAATAGAAACCCAGCATCAGCGATTGGAATCCCTTTGGGTGAGTTCTGGAAAAATACCAACAAATCATTGTTACTAATTCTCCTTTTC